AAGAACATCCTCCACTATACCTTTCAGGTCTTGTCCAGGAATTAATTCAGTTATAAAACGGGCTGGCTGCTAACAGCTAGTACAATCTTGGCTTCTCTTCCATCTTTTAAAAGAAAGCATCTTAGTTTCTGCTGCTGTGGACCTTTGACCCTAGGGCGACAGTGGCGTCGGATGTAGGAGTTTGCCCTGAAATCGAAGGGTTGACGGTTCAAGCCCCGGCTCTGACTCTCATTGTCATTGTGTCCTTGGGCAAGACACTTCACCTGCATTGTCTACCTCTGGTGGTCAGAGGGCCTGGTGGTGCCAGTGTATGACAGCCCTGCTTCTGTCAGTGAGCCCCCGGGAAGCTGTGGCTACAATGTAGCTTGCCACCATGTATGTAGCTTGCAGATGTATGTAGAGTTGGATAGTAATTGTCTGCACATCTGTACTGACTGGTTTTCTTTTGAGATGCCAGAAAGCCACCACTTCTCCTTTCATCACCTTCTGTTTCATGTGGTGGGGTTGAGTGCACACACATTGATTGTTTTCTGATTAATTGGTCTGATTAACTGTTTGTGTGTAAATATTTCAATATTTATTGCTGTCAATTAGTTTTTCAGTGTGTTATTTTCGTTGTACTATTTTGTATTAGCTATTTTCACTTTGCTCTTAATAGTTTTCCTGGACTCAAAATCCATCTAAATTAAGTAATGTATTTTTAAGATCTAATAATAGATCAAATTTTTTTTTGTCATTGACTATACACAACAATAGGACCCATTTATTGATTTATCAGTATTAATGAGTGACAGTGCCTGGATGCATGCTGATGGCAAAAAGAGGAAGGAAACTGAGAGTATTTTCAAAAACTTTTTCTTTTTTTTTTTTTTTGCATAAGTTGCTGTGGGGAAAAAAACCCAACTTCCTCACAATTTGTTTTTCAGAGCAAAGTACAGTTAATGTCATTTTAAACTCCAATTTCAGTTTTCCTTCAAGCCCCCCTCCCCTCTTCAGGTTTGTGTATTCACTCTACCTTGCTAACTGTCCCTATTTTAATCCAAATAACCTGTGATATGACCAGCATTCTACATAAGGCTGGATAAAGGCTGAAACAAACTGGCATCAGAACAAGAGCATGCTCCAAGCACTTTTCATTACCTTCCCCTGCAACATCATACCTTTTTGCAGGAATATCTTGATAAGTCATATCTAAATCTTTTATTTAGGCAAACCTATTGAACAACCAGATATCATACGGGTCCTAGTTCCTGAGCTGAGAACAGGTTATAACCATGCTTTTCCAACAAGGCAAGGCAGAGCTTATTTATATTGTCCATTCATCAACAGACTCATTTATATAAAGCTCACTATGTGAAAGAAAGAACAACTTAGAGAATAATTGTATTTCATCTGTTCTCGCCTTTTCATCTCATTCAACATTTCAGCTTAGAAAATGACAAACAGTATGATTTTGGTACTGGAGTAACATTTATTTCACCCGAGGAAAAGCACTAAATATGAAGCTACAATTGTCCCATTTAGCAGTTTTTACAAGCCCAAGGTGAGTCCTTCCTGCATTTGTGACAGGTATACTTTGTGCAGTGCACACAGTGCTCAGTGCTGTGGTTCCTGTTGCAGATATTGCACAATTAGTTTGCTTAT